ATAGATAGATAGATAGATAGATAGATAGATAGATAGATAGATAGATATGTAGGATATAAACACACTTAACTTGGTCCTGGTTGCTGTACTGCTGATATGTTAAAACCAGTTCGGGCAATGAAATCTGAGAGGAACACATGTCTGTGCTAATATTACAAATCAATGATGTGCATACTGGACTTGTACAAGCCTCTGTTTCTTTCATAAAGACCAAATACTCGAGCTTCTGTTGGCATAATTACAGAGCCATTACAAGGCTTCACTGTCACCAAGGCTGAGGCAGTGAAAATAACTGCTGAAATTAAAGTGTCACCACCGATGAAGCTGGAGTGATATGTTCTGATTAATTAACAACATGATGATCCTTTGCCTCTCAGATGATCATTTGGAGATAAAAATGTCCCCATTAAATGGTAGCATTTTAGCTTTGCAAAGCCCCATTTTTCTCCATCACTGAAGCCAAAAAAATATTCTCATCCAGTTGCGACTTAGTAAGTACTGCAAGTGCTGTCATAGTAGTTAATGATCAAGTTGGAATGATTTGAATGATATGTTTAGTCATTTTTCCAAGCATCTGCTATGGTTTATAAGCATAATGTGAACATTAAGGTGGGGGACTTATATTGACCAATTAAACTAAAACAACCAAAACAATCTCTAAAAACCAGAATGGATCACGATGATGGGGACGTAAGCAACATGGATACATAGATGGATGCACGTTCTTCTTTTTGTGTTCCTAAAAGCCACTTGGGGGCACTGTATCACCTAGGCGAAAGACCTGTTTGGGGCAAAGACAGCTCATAGTTCACTCATGTATAAATGCTAATGAAATACAATGACATTTTCTGATCCGGTGAATGTATCTGAAACAAGCCAGGATGAATATAGATGGCATCAATACTTGCAACTCAAAGGTTCATAGGGCTCATCATATAATTCCACTCATTTTTAAGTGGAAGCTGCTGCGATGTGCTTCAGGTTTATTATTTCAATAAGAGCCAATCAAATTAAAGTTGTTGGGATGTCTATCATATCTTGTTCATTTGTTTGTGTGTGCATGGCAACATAATGTGTTGTGTGGCTATTTTCTGTTGGTAATGCTGTAGGAAGAATGCAAAATTTCTTCTACAGTAACTAGAGTCATCAGAGCCATGGTTTCCTCACACCAACATCAGTATTGAATGACAGAACTTCTTGAATACACACACTCATGTTAAATTACAATAAGACACGAACAGCAGAGCATCACACTCACCACATCACCACATCACCTCATCTTAATACGAGAGGTTAAAATTTATTCCTCTTTTTTGCTTTCATGAATCTGGTTGTTTGTATTCATATTTAATACTACTCATTGAGGCAGGCTATTGTTATTCAGATGATATTTTCCTTTTAAGGTCAAGGGTAGTTTGGATACAACCACAAGCTTATGTCTGCAGAAAGACTCTTTTAACTGCAAAGGACGAGTTGCTTTTACCTGTGATACAGAGAGCTGTGTTGTCAAAGATCTCCCAAGGCAAATTAGTCCCAGCGGAGGGGCCAGATTCAAAGACCTCAACAGAGCAGTGCCAGACAATCGTTGATTTCCCTTTTAACTGGGGGAAGGTTTTCAGAGAGCGTAAACCAATTGCACCCCCAGGAGCCAGAGATGTCAGGGGATCACATCTGGTCAAGCCCCAGGAGCCGAGGCTCAGCTGGGGTTATGAGGATGAAGTCACAGGATGGCACCTCCACATGTGCTCACCACTTGTGGGGATGAAAATCGAGGTTGGCTACAGTGAGAGCACAGCCTTACTGTAGAAGCCCACACCTCTTGGGGGAGAAAAAAGGTAGAGCAATTGGTTTGCATGTAGAAATACCAGCTGTATGTGAGTATGGCACCTCCAGATCACATACCATAATTATTTAAGTAGGTAATAGCCCAGCAAAGAAGAGACCCCACATCTAGGAGTTTGCTGTAATTATCATATGTCTACTCTGGCCAGGGAACTCCTTAAGTCCACAGTAAGCGAAATGCATGTGTCAACAGGCAGCTCTTGCCTGAAGCACCCAACCTTGGATAATCAAAGGATAATTGATTGATGGTTACATTGTATAAAACTAATTTGAATGCTGGATCGACAATGACATTGTCTGTGTTTTTCAGAACTGTCCGTTGCTGTGTCATGATGAACTTTTGAAAATGCTTCAGTATGTTTTTCCTTCTACCTGACTCGAGTTTAGTCCTCCAACTGATATTTTTTTCTAAATTTATTTGCTTCCATGAATTTTAGACTAAACATTGCACTTCTTTCTAATTTATATGATTTAAATGTTTACTTTTCATATTTGTTGAAAGTTTGATAATTTACAATTCAATTGGATTTTGTATATGTTCAGTTATTAATGGAGGCAGACTGGAATGTCTAAGAAGACATTAAAAATGAATCGATGAACATCAGTGTCATGAATGTATTCCAAGTAAAAAAAGCCTTTTGGTTCAACATTAACTGAAAAGTTTATACAAACAACCCACAGCAATTTATATCAGAACCCTTTCATTTCCTTTTTTAGGGTGTGTGGATTGATAAATCCTATAATCTATTGTTTTAAGATGGTCAGTGTAAATCAGCAAGATGATTCATTTGTGTTAGTAATGATATTTCCATGTTTTTCCCCACCTTTCTTGTCTTTTTTCGTCACAAATATGATAAATATTGCATTGACATCCAACTTCCACTTTTCTAGATTACAGTAAAAGTTGACATCACCATGAGCCGTGCATCACTATGCATCTCTGCAGCTCCTCACACCCCTGCACTTCTTTTGTTTGTACTGTGCTCTTTGTGTTGAAATGATCTGCAAAGAAAACACGCCGAAGACAGGAACTTCTCCCGAACTACTGCATCAGCAACATTGTCCTTTCATCAAATCCTCTTCTTCTTTCATGTGTCACTCAACGTAACATCAGAGCCTAATCTTTGGAAGACTCTAAGAAATCATGTTGACACACATGATTGCTCATTATACACACCCTATCCCTCAGACTGTCGTGCAACTTCTCTTCTCTCGTGGCTCCTTGATGGCAGACTTCCGTTCAGGACTTTTGAAAAGCAGCACACCTTTATTTGGAAGCTTTCGCAAAGGGGATTCATCAGCATTCCTTAAGAAACCCTGCAGTCAAAAGTTCCCTGCAGCACCTGCGAGTAATGCAGATTTTGACTAAAGTGAAGAAACGGGCTGGAGGAGATGATGTGGCTGATTATGGAGAACACATAGAGGAAATGATGATGTTTAAACTCACTTTGAAACTTCAAACTAGTAAATAAATGATGCGCTCAAGAAGAGTCAAGAAATGGCTGCAGTTCCTACACCTGCGGCTCAGTTCTTAAATATTCATCTCCTGTCAGAGTCACACAAGCACTTGAGAAGTGTGCTCATGTGAGTGTGTGTCTTTAAAAGGCTATATTGAATTAAGAAAGATGTTCTCACAAACTACATTCTTCAAATAAATGAGACTGGTATAAATGAAAAGAAAATTTAGGATGATTTTTTTCTCTTTTAACTCAAATGCTCTCATCAGTGGACATGTCACTGGAGAAAAGGGAAAAGCCCTTACAGCTTTCATATGCTTCCCAACTTTTCCTATATCACTGCGATTCCTGTAACGGTTCCGAAATGGCAGCTAGACTTGCTAGTTAAATTTCTTATTTCTGAGAAAGGAGTTTTTCAATGTGGCCATTTAAATTAACTTATTCAGGAAAGAACTATGCCAAATTCTCAATGCACACACATGTTGGGAAAAGAGAATGTAGCGCAATTGCACATATCTGAAACATTGTGCAGATGTTTTGTTTGGTTCTGGTTGACAAACAAAAAATCTATGGTTCAATTTTAATTATCTCTCTATGATCAGGGTCCTGGAATCATACCGAAGTCATCCTAAAATAATATTGATTCATTTCCATGAACCTTAAAATGACTATTTGACTGGAGTCTGTCATCACAGACTACCTTTACTTTACCTCCTCATCTGTACTGATTAATCACTTCATCTGACTGTTCATTAGACCTTCTCTTTTAAAAGTGCTCGACTTTGTATCGACTTTTTATCCCACTCAGCTCTTAATTTCATGTTTCTCCTATTTGACTCTTTTTCTGCCCTCTCATTCTCTAGTCAGCGTATGTTTCAGACAGTCCTTCAGGGGTTTTTTCTTCTGTCAGCCTGAGCGGAGATATTTCAGCACCTTGATTTCAGGGTAATTTTATAAGGATAAATGATGACTCCCCCTGAGTGCATTTTCCCCTTCCTCTCAGTCAGCCCATCAGGAATGGGACCTGGGGCACGGCAATCACTCACTACTGCAGCGCAGACCAGGAACTGGAATGTCTAAGAAGTTTACAAATGACGACAAAAAAAAAAGATTGTCTTTCTTGATTATGTGATTTTAATATAAGAACAACTTGAAGGCAGTCCCCCTTCTTTCTGACAATTCCAAAGGAAAAAGACCTGGCAGAAAATGAACATGGTAGTGCCCTCCTGTAGAGTGATGTGATGCTATTCAGAAAGCACCTGTGATTTATATTTTTGGTTTAGCGTTCAGCTTTCTGAATTGTGACATAAACTTTGATAGAACATATATGTGAATTTTTAGCTCCATACTGTCCTACATTCCCATCAGGCAGTTGATGGGGGAAACCACATTCATGTGTCTGGAGATGAGCAGCTCCGATGGAATAACATAGCAATCATGGTGCTCAAAACAGAACTAAGGTTATGGTTTGAGCCACTACTAGTCCGAGGTACTGATCTGGAAGCAATTGGGCATAAATGAAACTTTGGATTTTTAAAAAAAGCTTTCGAACTCGTCTGACAGGATACACTAGATTCTGTTCTTGTTACTATTTCAAAATTTGATTCAAGGTAGCATTGACATTTAATCAATTTGACATGTTCTTCTTTGGAAAAAACAAACTTGATATCACATTTTAGCCAGGTTGAAACAAGCTATGCTTATATGAACATATGACTAATAGGTCGATTCAGTGTATAAAGTGACCAGTCAGGTCTTCTTGGCTACAACATTAAACCCTCAGGCACAGTTGAACAGAGGGGTCAACCATACCCTCCACTCCCCTGTGGACCAAACTGAGGCTTTATGTACTGTGGATTTATGTACTAGTATGACAAACTGTAATACAACTCAAACAATCACAGTTTCTCAACTGTGACTTGAGCATGGCCAAACAGTATCTCAAACACATAGACGTGTGCCTGAATTGTGTTCACTTAATCATTCTTTTTACTTGTAAACTCTGCATATAAAAGAGTCAGTGGAAACTTACAATGGATTCATAAAACCAATGCAAGAAAGCACTTCCAAACCCAGCATGAGCAGAAACCCACTGCGGCCCCAGCAGAAGGCCTCACACCAGGGCCTTGATTTAATCGCTGCCCAGCAAGGGAAGAGGCCAAGCAGGCAACAAAGCTGCCCTCCAGCCTTCCATCCTCCCGCTATCAATGCTCCCTGTAGATTGACCCAGGAGAGTCCATCCCTCACCCTCCACTTGGGTTGTTTGAAGATGAGAGCAATGGAGTGAAGGGAGGGAGGGCTGGGAGGAGGAGACACAGATGAAACCTGGGTTGTTTTTCTTTGAACTGCTAATCACTGTGTTTAAAGCTGACCTTGCTTCCTGCCTCTCTTTCTGTATCAGTTCATTAAAATATGCACTATGAAAACAGGTTTAAACTTGCAATGAACCATTTGTCTAACTTTGTTCACATTTAATACATCTGCCTTGAAATACCAAATCAAATCAACTACTAGGTAAAGATAGATTAAATAAAAAAAATTAAAATGTTTCATTATTCTGTTTGCTATTTAATCGTGCCCATGGAAAGGCACTGAAAACTTTAGCTGCAGTAAGTAGGCAGGAGCAACCATCTGTATCAACCCTGCTTACAGCAGAGATGAAGAAATATTTCATTTAATATCACCTTAATTTTGTCCAGGATGTTCTGTGCAGGACTGTCCGTTTAGATTAGAAGCACCCACAACATCCCTGTTTCAAAAATCAACAGATGGCTGCGAAGCAGACTCAAGAACTTTTACTTCATCCAAACAAAGTAAACAATCGAAAGCCTGAACAAGTCCAATTAGATTTCTTTCGGAAAGATTAGAGCAGCATTTTCAGTTTTCACATCCAATTCAAAACCTAGAGTATTGTAACATGTTTCAATGAGTTAGAGTGGAAGAGAGCTTTAGTTTTCTTCTTTAAACTTCAACATACAGCACATGCTATCTATTGAGCAATTCTGCAAGATATTCACTTGTCTCATCTGGTTAAACCAATATTCAGTTATATTACGTTCTAAACTCTGCACCATTATACTTCAAATTAATCAATATAATAAGATGGCTTCATTTACTACTACTCTGAATCAACAATTAAATGACTGTTTTATAATAATATTAAGCTTCTGAGAGAATAACTAATGAATCATTAGCATGAATAGAAGGTCACAACAGAGAAAAGGAGCTATGTCCAGCAAGCGCACCTGCTCTGTGTCACATTCTAATGCCAGGTGTGAACTGCTCTCCATGACCCTGGATGTCGACCCAACGTGGAAACATTTGCATTAAAGATAGTGTGTCAGAGCAGGCTGAAAGAGATTCAGAGCGATGGCTAGCCATGAAGGGAGAGCAGAATGAGTCGCAGTAGAGATGGTGAGTCGAGTGGCAAGGGATTAATCAATCATCACTCCTGTTGGTTTGTATTGACTCTGCAGTCCCACTGGGCTACCACAGTCAATGTGCTTTCAGGCATTTTGCGTGGGTCGATGGAGGAGCGTGCCTAGCTTAACACTTACTTTTTACAGAGCGTGAGTGTGTGTGTATTTGTGCAATATTTTATATATTTGTTTTTTGTGCATTGGCAGGTTTCTTTTGAAGTGCATCCCTAAGACAGGGCTGCTATTAGTGTTAAAAGGTTTAGAAATTACAACCCGTAGAGGTACAGTATCAAGATAACCAGCTTACAGTAAGGTAGTATGAGGATAAAGCTATGTTAAAAGTTTGAAAAGTTAGCTTTCTTCGCTAATAAAGGCAGTTTAACCCTTGTTATCTCTTCTGTTGTATGCAGTAAATAGTAGATGAAGAATTACAAACAATTTTTTTTTAATACAATGTTGTAAAAAATTTCTTTGTAACCAAATCTATTCTAAGCGAATTGAGAGTGACTAGCGCTGCAATGATTTGATTGATGACCAAATATGTGGTTTGTGAACTCTGTTAAAAACTCAGAAGAAGCATTGCTAATGTATACAATATTTCCCTGAGAAAACAAGACTGAATATGCAGCCTATATCAATTTCAAACACAATCTTATGTTTGTGTACCTTTAAAATCAGTGTAATCTGTGTTCAATAAGAAGCTATTTTCAAAACGCAGTCAAGCTACCGAAAAATTTGGTGAAAAGTGGTGTATACCTATTGTGAAGCTAATATTCTCTTTTCTGAAAGGAGTTGATGCACACAAAAAACTGATGAGCATGAACTCAAAACAAAGAAGAAAGGAAAACAAGAACAAGGAAAACAAATCCAATGTGAAATACAAAGAGAATAAAGCTTGAGCTTAAGACATTGATTTGAAGATAGGGAGGCATCTTTGAGTGCACTGTTCGGCAGAAAAAAAGAATGGGTGGGGCTCAAATAGAGTGCCTTTGTTGATTGTCTTTCTGCCTGGAAGAACATGTTCTTGTGCTTTCTGACTGGTGACACAAATATTCCTTCAGCAGCTATCTCTCCCAGAAAAAAAAAAAAAGATTTGAGCTTACTCTCCCATAACCTTATACAAATGATAAGATGATTGTCATCTCACATCATTTAACTGTGTAATATTGCAGTGTAACAACAGGACATATTGTGTGGCTAATTTCTGTGGCCATACAGTGGGTAAGTGTGTATGTACCGCATATGTGAAAGCTACACTATTTATCAAAAAACAGATTGAAAAGGCAACTTTTTTTCTATTTCCTTTTTTTTTAACCCAACAGGCCATCAATCATATAGATGACATGAAGCCATGGGCATGCACAGACAAGCTCTGAGTGATGGATGATTGACACTTCATGATTACCCGAGCTGAGAGCTGGTTCTGGTCCCACAGGTAAAACTCTCAGGGGCTTTTTACATCTTGATTCAGGTTGATTGAGGATGAACCTAGGCACGAATACATTTTCTTAAAAATTTGAACAAAGTGTCAAAACAAACAAACAAGAATTGTCCGCCTGTGTTGTGTTCTGGCTGCATCACATTACATTTATTGTGAATTATGATCATGTAAAGATTATCACCTTATCTCGTGTCTAAATGAACCATTTCTGTGCACTTATTTAAACTTTATCCCTTGAAAACTAAAATACATGCACTGTATTGCTTATCATTGCATGCCTATGAGGTTGAACTCGGAGCCCTCGGATTGAATCTGTTGAAGGCTTTTGTCCAGGATGAGAGACATATATTTGCATTTGGTCTTTCAACCAGGTTACAGAAGGATTAAAAATTCCTCTTAGCATTGTTGGCAGTTATTTAACCAAATACTGTGCTTAAGTACAAATGTGTCCTTGTTGGCACATTTGAGATAGTTTACTGCTCTGAGGTGTATTACTCTTTCCCTCAGAAAATATTCCCTACATCATTAAGTTTTTACCACCAAAGCAAAATTAGAATGACAACAAAACAAAATAAAAAAAAACAAAAACAAATGAAAACTTCTAATTTTTTAAAATATTGACGTATGGCTATCTTTGATTTCAGTTATTGGAGGAACTGTTAATCATTTAAGTAATGGGTATGCAAATTAGTTTGTGAATTTCAAAGACAAATCCTTGGTTCCATTTATACATTTGAACTATAAGATCAAATTAAACACTCATAGAAAGTCATGTATTTTTATGAAAGATGTTTATGTTTTCCTAAATGAATTTCACTTTAGCATTAAGTTAAGATAATATGAGAGTGACTGCAGATATTAAGTGTGTTTAAAAATCTTACATTTTATGGAGTGACGTCAATATTCCAGGAAAGACTTCAGGTTTTATTTACTGTTAACACTGTGAGTCACTTTAGAGCTCAGACAATCAATTTTAAGGTGACAAAATGATTTCCACTCACTGAATTAAAAGAGAGCCGAGTGGCAAAAGTTCATGGAAGTCGCACTCTTGAGAAAGACTGAGTATAGGTTGATTTTTAACAAAGAGGAACTCCATACTCTGTAATGTGGGTTTTTTTCTCCCCACTGTCCAATTTGCTGACCATCTCTGACACGGTGACCCTCCTTTATTAAGTGTCTGAGTCTCAATGTACAAGGGAACAATGTCTTTTTGAGTTTACAGGCCCAGAATAGAGGGAAGGTAATAAAACGAGTTTGAAGGAAAGGTTGAAGACAAGGAGAGTTAGATTGAGCTGCATTGAGAGGCAGCGGGTTGACTGTCAATAAAGGGAAAAGGCTTTCTCTCTGACACCTTATTGATCAGTTCATACTACTCAAAAGCATCCAGGAGGACTTATAAGGGGCTACAGAAGCAGCTCGCTCAAGCACTCGGTCTTGCTTCCTATCCAGGCTTCTCACTTTTTCTTCTGAGGACTGGAAATGTTCTGTTTGCATCACCCCACAAACCTATTGAAAGTTTCAGAAAAGTTGGAGAGTTTTCTACAAGGGACCAAAAGCTGACATCTGTTAATCAATTATTTGTTTGAAGTTTACTTTAACAGACACAAGATAAAAACAAAAAGATTTCATGCTCAATATTATGTTCTTCTACCCTGGAGTTGCTCCTGGTGAGAGGCGCCGTGCAGAAGTGGCCATACCTTTAACCCCCATCTCGGTGCCTGTAGGTTGGGGTTCAAACCGGTGAACGAGAGGGTAGCCTCCCTTGGCCTTCGGGTGGGGGGACAGATGCTGACTGTTGTTGGTGCTTATGCAGAGTACCCACCCTTTTTGGAGTCCTTAGAGGGGGTGCTGGAGGGTGCCCCCCCTGGGGACTCCCTTACTCTGCATGGGGACTTCAATGCTCACGTGGGCAATGACAGTGATACCTCGAAGGGTGTGGATTGGAGGAATGCCCCCCCCAGCTTGAGCCTGAGCGGTGTTTTGTTGTTGGACTTCTGTGCTTGGCACGGATTGTCCATAACGAACACCATGTGACGTTGTGGGTCAATGGATGAAGTAGTTCGAAGACCTCCTCAACCCCCACTGGCGTGTCTTCCATTGGAGGGGCAGAGCCTGGGGATCTCTCCAATCTCTGGGGCTGAAGTCACAGAGGCGCTCAAAAAGCTCTGCGGTGGCAAGGCTCGGGGGTGGACGAGATTCGGCCGGAGTTCCTCAGGGCTCTGGATGTTGTGAGGTCGTGTTGGCTAACGCGACTCTGCAGCATCGCTTAGACATCAGGAGCAGTTCCGCTGGATTGGCAGACTGGGGTGGTGGTCCCCAGCGGTTGACATGAAAAATCTCAATTCTTTTAATTATTCTTCGAAAACGTTCTCTGCATTGAAGAAATTGTCCCAAAAAAAAATTCTTTTGTGAATTTTCTTGAAATAATTCCTGACATTTCTTGAACTGTGGATTGGGGAGATAGTTTCTGGCAAATCTATTTGAAATCATGGATATAAGAAAACATGGATATTTTAAAATCCCTGTCAGGACTGCAAAGGTCTTTGGGAGGCTGCTAAATGTAACCCCTCAAAAACAGATGAGAATATCCACTGCTGACCTTTGGAATTTTGACAGACACTTTATCTTCTAACTTTGTTTCCAGCCCCTTTAATGGACAAAACTCCAACTGTCACCAGCTATAGTTTGTCAAGGATGGGATGGATAAGCCCCCTGTGTTTTCTACCCCCTCCCCCCCCCCCCCCCCCCCTCCTTTTTTTGTTTATTTTTTGGGGGCTTTCCAGCTTTGGTTGTGTGATAACACCTGCAGAGTCTCTGTATGATGCCACAACAACCTATTAATAAAAATTTACTTAATTCCGACAAACATTAAAAACACATTGGAAGCACACAAAAAACTGTTGACATTTCCTTTCGAAAAGTGCATCGTTTTTTCCCACAAAAGCATTTATTGTGTTGAGCCATATGTTTTCAGGGCCAAGTCTGCCTGACCTTCTTGGTAAGACTACAGTTTGCACAGGTCAAGTGTCCATATGAGCCCCTTTTGCTTTTATTGGGTTTGTACAAGACTGTCATGAGTAAGTGTTTATTCTGTGTCTTGGGAGTAGGGAACTGCAACTGTGACAGCAAACAAGTGGGCTGTCAACTCCTTTATATGGCCTTGTGGGCCATGGGCTCCTCTTGCTTTTACTTCCCCCTGATAGCCTGATAGACAAGGCTCGCAATATCTTGTTTTTGTCTCGTCAAATAACTTGCTTTCATTATTATTTTTTGTGTAGAAAATAAATAAAGCTCCCCGTGAATCCTTCCCCTTACTGACTTATTTTTCATTCTACAGTCATGTATTGATTCATATATTCACATTATACCTTCCTGAAACCCGCATTTTCTGACAGCCTGCTGCAGGTTAAAAAAAACAAAGAAAAAAAAACACGACTTTGCTGGACTGTGCTGGCTTTAACTTACATAGACATTTTAAACATCAAATGAGTGCTCTCTCCTTAACAATTGAAACCTGGTTCTAGAGTAGCAACTTTCTAACAAGGGTAATCTTTATCCTGGAAAAATATGTCGGATTCAGAACTGTATGCTAGATAATGGGAGACTTACAATATCATGTTATGTTGTGTCTTAAATAGAAACTGCTTTCAAACTATTTACATTTCCCCTTTTTGAGACAGTGTCTTTAGTGTTTAGAGTGTGATGTTGGAAACAGAAATGCAGAGTTTGTACTTTCATTGGTGAATGCAGTGCTGACTGACACTCAAATATCATTGTTTTCTAAAGTTACACTCTTTTTTTCAGTAAACTAAAGTCAGGTCTTTTCCTCAATCAGGCTTCAGTGTTTTCAATCTAACATATTCTCTTCCAGTCTAATCTTCTGTTGTTTCTCCACAGAGTGGGATATATCAATAATATAATTTGCCTACTTTCATATCAAGAAGAACTGAAAAGGTTTAAAAATGACATAAAATGTTTATTATTGAATGAAGAATGTAAAAAAAAAACTTATTTAAGGGGGGCCGTGTTTAAATCCCAGGCTGAGATGGTACTTTCACTGTTATGTATATTTTTTGTGTATTGTATAGCTACAGTGGGTATAAGAATAAACTTAGAATCTCTGATATAACTCAGTTTTTAAGCTGCTGAGTCAGAAAATGTACCAGCCCATGATAAATGTTGGAGTCTTTCTTTTTCCTGAGTAGTGTCCTGGGCAAACAGAGAGTTTTAAAGGTTGGTTGATTGTTGCTTTTATTTATTTTAAGACAAATACTTCAGTTTGAACCCATGCAGCTGCCACCGGTTTAAAAGTGGTAGTTTTTTAGAACAATATGTAGCTCTAATTAAAGTAAAACATTAAAGTATGGTATCTTATTTCACTGAAGGCATGAATCCAAATATCATTTATGAAACTTTAACATAAGGGATTACAGAAATAACATCAAAGGCAGCTGTGTATGCCTGCACACATACACACACAATTCTCTCCACCTCACAAAAACATGTCCTAACTCAACTTATCTCATACCTCATCCATAATCAAATCTGACAGCCCTTTTTTCTTCCACCCCCCTGCTCACCACTCTTTCCCACCTACCCTTCCTCTGCTCTCACATCCCAAAATACCAGTCTGCTGAACAGCAGACTCTCCCTGTAAGCCCCAGGCCAATTAGAGTGGTGTTGCAGCATTGTTATCTGCTTGTCATGGTGGGTTTCTCCTGCCTGCTCTCTGTTTGTGGCAACACAAACTGCTGCTGCTGGGCCAGAGGCAACCCAGAGCTGGAGAAGACAGAAAAAATATGTAAAGAGTGGAATCCATCATTCAGTTTAAGCAGAGATGACTTCTTAAAAATGAAATTCTGGAAAAGTTTTTGACTAACATCATGCCTAACATTTGTAAGGTGTCAGTCTTACTCTATACACATGCTCATAATGAGAAGACATAGAGGCCCAGGAAAGAAAAGGTTACAAGGAAAGGGGTTGAAATTAACTTGCAGCCTGAAAATTTTGATCTCCCTCTTTCTCTCTGTCATCATCACTTTACATAGCATAGATTAAAAAAGGATGAGGAAAAAGAGAAGTGGAGAAGTTGATGTTTATTAGCTAATTTTAGAACGTTTGGTGTGCTTCACACAGTCTCGCATCGCGATGTGAGTCGGTTTTACTGGTGGTAAGCCAGGTGTTCCAGGGTAAGACATTAGCTAATCTCACCAACATTGGTGAAAAGAACAACTTCTTTTTTTCTTGCACATTGGATATTCCATTAAATTTCCCATTATTAACATGTAACACAACATAGTTGCATGATTGTCTATTGGTATTCATCTTAAGTCTTCATTACCTCTAAACTGTATCTTTTCAACTATTGTTTTCTTGTTCTCACTGATTCTGACTTGAACCTATGTCTCCGGATTTTGTGACAAAGTAAGCAACAACATGAAAGAAAACAAGTCTAAAATAACTAACTGGGTTCTTATGAGAGGGCTGAGTTCTGGAATAACTGGACCAAGCATTGAAGATCAAATTTTATTTCACATGGTTCGGGATGAATAGCCTGTCAGAAAATGATTGGTTTCATCACAATTATTGTTGTGAAACTTTAACACTCTGGTTTACAATGCCATATCCAGAAGGTGACTTTCAGGAAAAGTTCGCTTTAAATAAAAATTGAGTAAGAAGTTGAAAAAAAGGAAAAGACCCGTAGCATGAAATTCTGGTGACAAGAAAAATAAAAAATAAAATCTTTTCAGTCCCTCAGCACTCGCCTGAACTTTGCTTTTTCAGGAGACATTTGTGCTGCTTAAATTTCACACCCAGACATTTTTGCAACATGCACTGAGGGTAAAGGAGAAAAAACAAGATGAATACAGATGACCTCCTTTCTGATTACAGAATCAAATGTAGCGGTTATTTGGGGTAGGTTATGATGGAAGACGGGTCTTTATGTTTGGTGATGGTTGATAAATGAGAGCTGGGAGTTATTAAAGCCATTGTGTGTTTGAAACATTGGACTAATATTAACACATACTCCAGGGGACTGCTGTGAGACAAGAGTATTGTGTCGTGTACCACGCCTGACTTTGACTCAGACGATAAAGGTTATATACCACAGATGTTTCTTTGCAGAGCTTGATTGCATTGTTATCAGCTGAAGTATTAGTAGTTACTGAACACCTTTTAGTGAGGTAAATTCTAGATAAAAAGCTGAGTTCTGGAACTAAGTATCAAAAATCTGTATTCACAAAGAGGCAGATTTTGACCAGTTTTAGTGTATGTTTTCATCTCTATTAGATTAAATAACCAATTAATTCACTGGTACTTCTCCAGTCCGTTGGGTAACACTAAAGGGATTAAAGCCATATAAACATAGATCTTTATGTGAACATTTTGAAAGAAAATACTGAATAATAATTATCACTAAGATTTGATCTTTGACTGATTTGATCCTATTAGTGATAATATGAGGGCTTGGATGATAACATAAAAAATTAATCAAAACTGTAGCCTTCTCCATGTACCGGTTCTGCCTTATTTGCAAAACCAAAAAATTAAATAAATAAAAGATTAGCTTGACAACCCACTGCTTTGCTAATCCACACAGCCCTGCATCAGTCATATGTGTAAAGTTACAGAAACAACATCAGTTTGATCCATAGTGGCTAAGAGAGGAAACATTTAACTAACCAATCAAGATTAAAAACAAGGATTTTTTTCATATCCCACTGGGCTTTGTTGTTGCTTCTGTTGGGAGTAAATAGCAAAATAAGCTTAGAGCCGTTTTGGTATTACCAGCCTCTCACATCCCATCTAGTGGCAAAAATTGGTATGATAGTTGTGTTTGATTTGTATATATTTTTTTGTGTTGTCCACATTTTGACAAAGAGCAACTTAAAAAAGAAACCCATGTGAGAGGCTTACAAGGCTGCATGGAAAGTAAATAGAAGCCATTATGCCAGGAGACATTTCTGCACCTCTAACTGACTAACTCCTAACTCTTATCCAAAATAACTGCTGAAGACACCAACTTTCTTCACAGCCTAAATTGCTTGATGGCCTTTTTATACCTGTCAGTCCATTTGTAATACCTCCTGATGTACCGTTGGGGTAATTTTTGACATGTAAACAGAGAACATTGGATGGTAATTTAGATTCAGACCGTACACTGCTGCTGACAGTCTCTACCGAGACTATGAGCTGCTTTCAATTCGAAAGTTGAAATCTGCTGAAGTTTTTTTAACTCTCCCAACTGCCTTAACATACTCCTTCTCAATAATAAATTCTTCCTGGCTTCAGCATAAGTTTCAAGTCTCACCAACAACTCCTCCTTCATACAGCTACAGCTCACTGTAATGAAAAACAGTTACATCCATCTGCAGGAAGTTGTTCAACATTAAAGGTAAGGAAAGAAATCCAAACTCTTTCATATCTTCCACGCAAAAAGAAAACATATTTGTATACATCAGGACATCATATTGAAAGTTTCGGACATGATTTAGGATTTTCCTACACGATACATGACCGTTTTTTCATCAGATGTGTATGCTTGTTCTCTACTGGTGCTCATCTAGTAAGATTTTATCTTCCAGAAACTGTCAAGAAATATTATACACCGTGATGGTTTGTTGATGTTGTCTTGCTTAACTTTGAATGTTGCTAAAACGTTATTCTAAATACCTGTTCAACAAATGCCTCTAAAATGACTGTCAAACTGTCTGAGATACACCACAGGAAGGTTCCTGCAAGACTTTGCTCTCCCTCACACTAGGAGCAAAAAATGATTTAGATGTTTCTTTTTTTCTAAATGGAACCATACTCGGACCTCAAATTACTCTAATCACATAAAATTAAAATTGTTATGATGCATTTCCCTGAGTTGTGGCCAAAATTGTTGATGAAGATAGTCATCATTCTATGTAGAAGACTATACCAGGTTTCCGCCTCTTGATTATCATCCTGTTGCTTTGCATGTCTCAAAGCCATCGACGTCCACTGCGAAGAAGAACTAGTTTATACGTGGCTTATCTTTACTGCAGTTCAGTATAGACCTCTACTTAAGCCAGGGCACTATCAATAGTTTAACAGGGGGAGTACTCTGTAGAAAAAAAACAAGCAATTCATCCGATCAGTTACAACAGTGAAAAATTAATGTTGACTCAGCAAACACTGCTAGAAAAAGTGCATCAAAAGCAAGTGTTATCGGAGGATTACACAAGAGGGTTGGATGTTCTTTACTGTTGTCCACAATGATAACGGGAGTTAGATATTATTTATCCCAAAAACCCTTTTTTTTAAACTGAAGCAATGGATAACATGCTGTACAGCCGTTCTCTGTGGGTTAGTTTTGTCACACAAAGCCAAAAGCAATTTCTTCTGAAGGTCAGTTCGTTCAGCTCAAATTAAAGTAAAGCTAAAGGAAAACTTTTCTGAATACAATGCGCATTTCCAAACTGCTTATCTTTACCTCATCCATCTGCCCAATCGTCCTTCCACCCATGAATGTATGCATGCATGCTAAACCACAAACACTTATCAAGAGGCGAAAAGTCGCCTATCCCAAGATGGCAGATATCTTTAGCGCTGTCTCAGTCATGAATCGTAACCTGATTCATTCAAATTAATCTATTAAAAAAATGTTGGGAATTTTAAGGATGAGACAAAAATTGGACAAAAGAGAGGTTCAAATTTGGAAGTGCTCGTGTAGGGTTGACTGTGGATCTGGCACGATCTCCAACAGTAGGAACAATCACAAAAGCTGTGTGTGCAGTCTTGCCATATGTTTCCATTATTTATGTCAATACAAACATAGATAAGACACGAAACACAGAACAGACACTGTCTTCAAGACAATGTTCTTATTTTAGTTGTGGTTGTCTTGGTTTGGATTTTTTTCTTTAAGCTTTCTGTTTTAGTCGGTTAAGTTGATGTTCGGTTTTCGTATCCTGCTCTGTATTGCTGTATGATTCACTCTATTGGTTTCTTAGTGTTCTTAGTATGTTGGAGTCCCGCTCTCTGCTCCACCTGCACACCTGGACTCAGTTAGCTATTCCCACCTGTCTCATGTTACTCATTACCTCCCTCAATATGTCCTCCTGGTTTTCTTTAGCTTCTTGCCAGTTCTTTGATGTCTTCCCTCTGTCAGATAGTCTGTCTAGTTAGCTGTGTGTCTTTCAGACTGTCTTCTTTGTTTCTTTTGTTCCTCTTGGTTCTTGGTTGGCTCAGTGGCTTCACCTTTATTCTTTATTAAAACCACCCAGACCAGTTTCCATTTTGAGTTTTTTTTTGTGTGAACCAATTGCACTGCTGAGCCATAACCTCATGCCCTCTCTGCCAGCCAAGCTGCCCATTTTGAATTTGTGTTTTTTACTACCTTTTGCCAGGCTCTTTTACATGACCTAACTGCAAAAGATCTTAGAGTTTAACAAAACTAGAGGGAGCTCCTTAGTTGTGTTGTTGATCTACAGCACGGAAACTGGCACACTTCATTGAATAGTTGAATAAAAACTGTTTCATCAGTCACACACAATGTTACAGAGAAGACATACGTGCATGACATTTGAAATGCAAATTAGCTATGTTGGAAATAAATGACAGGACACAGGTCCACAGATTTAAGTTACTTCTCCTTAAAGTTGCTCACCCTATCATGATCATCCATACCAATCACAGTCAACACAAGTGGATAATTAGTTGAGTGTCACTTTGAAGGTTGTGGCCTTAATGCATTGTAATAGAGAATGGTCTAATTTCCTCTAAAAATAGCTTGTCTAGTATCTCCTTTGGTAAACTATAATATAAATTAAACACAAAACGTTTCCTCAAACAGCTCTTATTCTTTCGGGTAATGTCTCCATCAGAGACATTATTCGACTTGACACTGGAGAGAGGCTGCAGTTATCGGAGAGGGTGCTGCTGGTGTGTGCTCGTTCAGCTCATTTTGGAGTGTGTTCACCAGCCTTACAGTGTGTGCTTAATTGTTCATGGCTCTGTGTGTGTTTTCAGAACTAACAGATGGAAAAATGCAAAGGTCAAATTCCTGGTTGTGAAAACATAACATGCTTTGTTGAATAACCAATTAATCTTCTTATTTGCCTATATTGGTGTCGGGCAGAAAATTGATATCAATGACAAATATCTCTGAACATTTGATAAAGTCCAGAATAATGAAAAAAAAGCTCCTTAGTACTAGTATTAGCAAAAGCAGACACCATCAACTGTACAACAACAGTAACACTACACCATGCAACATGCATTTAAATGTAATAGCTTTTTTATATTTGCAAATCAAGCCTGGCCTGGTGCGTCTTTGGCCTTTTTAATGGTACAGTCAGGTTGCTTGCTATAACTGGAAAATCATAACAAAAAGTTTGGGTATTGGGATCCCTGTAGGATTTATCTCTGATACGCTTGCCACTTTTGCCATTTGTGAATAGACCTCAGTTGAGGGCAGAGATTCCGTTTTGTGTCTACAACGACCTCTAAGGAAATATTCTTCTTGCTTTTTGAAAGTTTGGTTTGTGTGTTTGTTGGATTATAGCAGAGAGAACAGTGGGAAGAGAAACTTTGCACCTGTCTAGGTTAAACTTATGCACCTGGGCATTCGGCTGCTTTTGGCTTCCTTTTTTCCATCAGCAAGTCAGGGCAGACGGGTTCACCATCACGGTCAGGGAGCACAGTCAGATCTTCATACAGACCAACAACAGGCATGTGGGAGAA